ATATATATATATATATATACATATATATATATATATATATATATATGTATATATATATATATATATATATATATATATATATATACACACACACACACACACGCACACACACATACACATACACACACACACACACACACACAGTACAGACCAAAAGTTTGGACACACCTGTCTCTTCAAATATGTATTCTTTATTTTCATGACCATTTACATCGGGAGACTCTCACTGAAGGCATCAAAACTATGAATGAACATACGTGGAGTTGTGTACTTAACCAAAAAAGGTAAAATTACTGAAAACATGTTTTATATTCTATATTTTTCTAAAAAGACACCCTTTGCTTTGACTTCTGCTTTTCACACTCTTGGCATTCTCTTGATGAGCTTCAAGAGGTAGTCTTTCAAGACTATTGGAAAACAACTTCAGCTGACTACCTCAACTCGCCTCAGATCAATTTTGATCCAATACGACCCGAGCATAATGAAATTCCATTCCGATTGAGAGAGGTGGTCCAATCATCATTTCGACTGACGTCCATGTACACACTCATTCAGATTCTTGGAGTGAAATAATGCCCACTGCGCATGTGTGCAACTTTGGCGTGACGTCTTTCCGCCTTTGCTGATGCTCAGGACAAGTCGAAAACATGGTGTGAGGTAAACAGAAGTTATTCTGCTCTCCTCTCCTGTGGTGGAGGAGCAGTGGTGTTACATACTGCTGAGCCTGGACCTTAGTAAATGTGATCAGTAAAAACAAAAGCTTACAGGTAAAAATGCAAAGAAGGTCCATAACGAGGACAAAAATGTAAGCCCACTGACAAAGCTAGAGAGTAAGAAAATAAAATGCGAGCAAAAAGACGTGCAGACAAAATGGTGTTTGTTTACAATTTTTTTCTGGGAAAGACAACTCTGCGCATGCTCAACCTATTTAGGTGTATGTAAACGTAGCTAATGAGTCACAATCAATCTGACGCGAGATGTCCAAATTTCAGGAAATAAGACTCCAAATCCTGCTGTGTTCAGCCCTCCTCTGATCTAATATTCTGCTAATTCCTAAAACAAGGGCATCCGAACTTTTTTTCCTGGCTTGTGGAGATTTCTAGGCATTCATTTCTACTAGAGACCACTGCAAAAATGTCCCACAATTTTCATTGAAAAGTTAAAAAAAATTTAAAAACTTTATTAAAATTACCCTTTTAATGGTAAATCTGCTAAACTGTTTATCCCGAATATTTTTTGTTGACTTAGCCAAATGAATAGAAAAAACAATATTTTTTTTTTTTTACAAATTTCTACTAGCTAATGCCCTAAGATATTATTTAAATGTTCTTTATTATCATTTTGCTCTGAGTCCTGCTCCTTTGTCACTTGTGAAAAAAGTCTCTCAAAGAAAAATTAAACTTTTTATAGTATAAATAACCCAGCAGTTGAGTTACAATTGCCCAGGGGTTTGGTTACTGTAATCTGATCTAGTGACCCAGCATAGTAACCCAGTAGCTGGGTGGAATTAAACTACCCAACAAAAGTTAAAATAACCCAATGACAGTACCCAACAGCTTCAACCCTGTGTTTGGGTTGAGAAAACATCCCAATGTCTTTTAGTGTGAACCAAAATGTCTGGTAAAATGGTCCATCCCTTGAGTTAAAAGACAACTTTTTACATCTAAATAATTCAAAGAATAGTTTAGAGGCTGAAAAAAATTACATACAGGCTCTAGGATTGGACTGAAATTTAGTCACCAAAGAGCCAATGTTAGGAACAACATTTGATGGAGAAAGAAGTTGTCAAACAGAAAGATGGTTTCTGACTTAAAAAAAAACAATCTTAAAACAGGAGCAGAAACTATAGGAGATGTGAGTTTATGAAGAAAGAATCTCATATACTTTGCAGATTTTACTTCATCTTTGTGATGAACCTCAGGGTTCTAAGTTCTTATGGTTTTATAATCCAGCAGTAATTAATAAAATTGACAAAAGAATAAAATGTCTCATAATGTGAAAGCGAGAAAACCAGAAGAGTAAATCATGCGTGAAAGACTGTCCATGACCAGCATTGTTACACCTTTTTTTTTTACTGATTTAAGTTGGAGGTTTTATTGAGCTTTCAACTATCAAAATAAAAAAAGTCCTTGATGTGTTAAATTTACTTTGTAGTACACCCCCTGGCAATTCTGTCTGAGCAGGTATGGGAGTGCTTCTAAAGTCCTTAGTTAGTATTTATTTGTGGGCCCTTGATGGCAAAACACAAAGAGCCGAGAACTGAGCTTGAAAATGTAAGGTTAGAGGAAGTCCTAGCAAAGCTTTGTTCCACAGTGTGAAGCCCTCGAGGGCAGAAAATACAAAGAGAGAGAGAAAGATGTTGAGTGTCAGAAAAGGGACTGGACAGGCATCAGACAGCAGGGGAATGTGTAAAGCTTACTAATCTCATAGAATTCAGAGTGGAAATAAAACACAAAGGAAAAGTCATCCAGTGTAAGTTCACTTCAGAGAGATTCATCTAGAAAGATAAACAAAGAAAATGAAGAAAAATAAGCATTTTTCTCTCTCAACAGTGAAGAAAACATATATATATATATATATATATATTTTTTTTTTACAATGTGTGAGGACCAGTAAATCAAGCAGTTGGTTAGGCAATCGATTAATCAATCAACTATCATTCAATCAATTCGTCAAGTCAGTGTGTGTGAGTGTGTACTGGTCTACACATCAAAGTGAGGACTAAAACAAGTTTTTCACCTGCAAACTGAGGACATTAGTTAGCCTGGCAAGCCATCCTATATATGTGCAAGGGAAGAATTTGGTCTAGTTCACTAAGGCTAGATTTTAGTACCAAAGTGAGGACATTTTGCTGGTATTTTAATTTTAGAGGTAGGATGTGAATGAAGTTTTAGTTAAGGTTAGGGTTAGGAGCAGATTGGTTATGGTTAGAGTTAGGGCTATGCACACTCCAATCACTAAAATGAACAGAAGTCAATGACGGTCCTCACAACGAATACTAGACTAGTGTGTGTGTGTGTGTGTGTGTGTGTGTGTGTGTGTGTGTGTGTGTGTGTGTGTGTGTGTGTGTGTGTGTGTGTGTGTGTGTGTGTGTGTGTGTGTGTGTGTGTGTGTGTGTGTGTGTGAATAACAAACTGTAGTGTAAAACATTCTGATGTCATCTGACATATAGAAGCACTATACAATTGCAGGTCATTTACTATATTTATATTGTCATGATCGTGAATGCTGTTGATGTTTTGGGAGTAAAAAGTAAAATAATTAAAAATATATATAATAATAATAATAATAATAATAATAATAATAAGTAAAATAATTAAAAATATATAATAATAATAATGATAATAATAATAATAATAATAATAATAATAGAGAAGATATTAACTTTATTTGGTTTACTCATCGACATATACATATATGGACAATGAGTTTCCACAGACTCCAATAACACATTTTTGAAGATAAATGGGAGGTGGCCACCACCGCCATTTTGACCGTGTCACAGGTTCCGTCAAGCCCAGACAATTCCACAAAAGGGAAGAGAGGTGGAGCTGAGGGTGGGGCTGTAAGGCTGAGATCAACTGACGACACCCGGTCGAATTAGCTACAAGCTAACCTGAAGCTAACCCAAAGCTAACGCGGAGGTGGGGGCTAAGCTAATGGAGGTAGCAACCTAGCTACAACCGGAGTTAACTGTGCACAACACCAGAGCTTCTGAGTCAGAGATACCCCGGGCTGACCGCTGGGTAAAACCTGGTGGAACACAGAGGTCTCCAGAGAGCTCCACAAGCCGGCAGCCGCACAGCAGACAAGTGCCGCTGCGATCTGAGATGAGCTGAGCTGGTGAGAACTGGGTGGAAAGGTTTCCATCCCAGAGCTCCACAAGCCATCAGCCCGCGCAAGCAGCCAGGAGCCGCGATCAGACAGAGATGAGCCGAGCTGCGGGGAGGGGAGAACCGGGTGGAAAACAGGTCTCCTGAGAGCTCCACAAGCCGATAATCGGAATCCAGCTCCACCAACATGTTATATTTCAACCCATTTTCTAAAGTGCAGCATTATGTTAAACGCACTGGGTTTTACCCTATTACATTTAAATTTCATGGTTAAACAGTACATGTTAAAATCTAAGCTCAGCTCGGCAGTGACCTAAAATACATAAATATAATTTTACTTACAGAAAAAAATGAAGTGGAGACTCCTTGGACGCTCTATTAGTGCAATTAATGCCACAGCAAGTCATTTTGTCCAACAATTGCACAAATAATATCCAAAAAAGAACGCACAAACGGCACAACATATGGTCTAAGTTGAGAGACTGAAAATGACAGAACAGTTTTCAGGCGAGGCCGAGGCTCAGACTGAGGCCTTTCCCCGGAGCTAGCTCTGCAGTCACGTGGGTCTGATGCTCATTAATTATACAGAATTTTAGGCTTTTAATACACTTAAACAGAAGAGTGAGAAAAAAATTCACCCCCCTCAGAGTTGTCATGAGTGTAAACTAGATCATTTAAACCAAAAACATGTTTTGTTACCAGGCTGTAAACATATTTATTTCTGCTGTGAAATTGGTATTTTTAACATGGGAGTCTTTTTTTTCAAAACTTTATTGAACAAGGTGAAAGTATACAATCAAATTGCATACAAAATTGAACAAAGAAGATGAAACATATGCCAGGGGGTGTACTACAGAAATGTTACCTTTTAACATGGGAGTCAATGAGGATTTGCTCGCTTCTGACACCAGCCCCCAGCGGATGAGGGTGGGATTGCAATTTATTTCATTTCCGCGTTGGAGTGCCGCATTGTGGGGGCTTGGGTTTACTACTGCTAATAGTTTGGTTCGATGGGAACAATCAAGACGAAAGTAATTGAAATTTTCAGTTTCCCACGGTACATGAACGTCACATGACTGCCCTCACCCTTACGTGAAGCGCGCATCGCTATTTGAATGAACGGACCAATGAGCGGACTTGCTAGTCGGAAGTTACAGTCATTCCGTCATTTTTATCCAATCAATGCACAGCTCTGTTGTTTGCTCTCCTTTTTGAATTGAGCTCTAACAGCAGACTGACATCCACCCAGTCCTACTCCGAAGTGGTTCGCCGTCAACAATCTAAGGATTGCGGTTGTAATTCGCACAATGAATTGATACGTGACATATTTCATTTTATCGGAGTAATGTCGCGGCCTCATGACAGTTTCTGGACGAAAGAAGTTTTTTTTAGAACCTTTTAAAACTTTGTAGCCCTACAGCTAGCTAAGCTAGCTAGCAAGTTCTTTAAAGTTAACTGGTTTTGCAGCCAGTTAGCCACAACTAGGTTTTTATTTCCTGTTTTATTTAGGGAATCGACACAACAATTGAATTGGTAAGTGTAGCACTTTTCTAAGCAACGACATTTCACAGCGATGCCTAAATGGCGTTCAAAAAGAGTTTTTTTGAAAGGAGCTAACGTCAACTGGATGTTAATCATTGTTAGTGTGTCCCATTTAGTTTATCCGAAAATTACAGTAGTTTTGTGTTATTTTGTAATAGATCTCTGGCGCTAGAAGGATAACAGTTAATATAGTTTTATGAAATAATTTAGCTAAAGAATAGTCGTTTCACCTGCGCAGGTCATCAAGCTCGATCTTAAATAGTCACTTTCTTGTGGCCATGTAGAAGCTGATATGTAACGTAGCTTTATTTTCCTCAAGATATATTTGGTTTAATGATCACACTGCTTCATCTTCAGCCAAACCTAGACTGTGGTGCACTTGACATCCAAATATTCTTTATTAGTCACGAAGGGAGACTGGATGGCCACAGCTTCTATAAACCAAACGTCGTTTGAGGTATTTTTTGTTCCTGTGTTGATTTTCTCCTGTTTGATGTTTGAAAGCAGTCAGTTGGAGCTTCCTGGGGTTGCTGCCATGGCCGACAGCAGTATAGTGACTTTGGGGACGGCTCGAAGTTTGCTTGTGGATTCTTCAGTCTATGATTCCAGGATTACTGAAACGACTAAAGACCATCATGCATTATTAAATACGACTTGTGAGGATGGGGAAGGTGAGTCTGCAGTGTAGATAGTTTTTGATCTTCCCTTGTTGACGGATAATCTAAAACAAACTCGGTTAAACATCTGTACCAGTGTGGTGTTTTACACTTGATGTGTAACAATCAAGTGTGTATTTCAGGTTCTGTAATCAGCATGTATTATTAGGAGTCATGAGTAACAAAACCACAAATGGAAATCCCCCAAAACGCCATTAGATTGCATCCACATTTGTCGGAGTGCCATTCAGCTGTTACGTATTCAGATCTCCCTGTTTTCTACATTATAATGAGCCACTAACAAAGCAGCTGCTGAAATTTGCCTGTTTGCACCGTTGCTAGACGCCATCTTTGACTCTAGCTAAAAATTCACAGCATCGTGCAGAACAGTTGTCATTTCTGCCTTTTTTTTCTGATTATTTTGAGTTGGCTAGTCCCGCCTCTCATGGTGCTTTCTGCCTTTGAGTATCCAGACTCATCCTCTGTGTAGAATAGACAGAGGGTGAGTCTGGCAGGCCAGGCTAGTGCCAACCTGAGGTGCCTGTTAGAACCAAATGTAAACAAAGAAACAGAAAGGCTTTCATCTCAGGAAAGAGACAAAATCATCGCACTGGATACCCATCTTTGTTCAGAGGAATGATGAGAAATGTCTGTAGTACAATTACATTTGTGTATGTAAATTTCAATATACACCCATCAACCACTTTAACACAATTTGCCAACATGCTTTCATGTTGGTGACACCAGATTCTGACCCGACCACCTGAATGTTGTAGCTGAAATCCAGACTCATCAGACCAGGAAACATTTTCCAGTCTCTTCTGGTCCAGTTCTGGTGATCCTGTGTGAGTTGTAGCCTCAGCTTCCTGTTCTTAGCTGACAGGAGAGACCCCCTGGCGTGGTCTTCTGCTGCTGGAGTCCATCTGCTTCAAGCTTCAACATGTTGTGGTTCAGAGGTGCTGTTCTGTCGACCCTCCATTTTCTCTCAAAGCTCCTGGAGACGGTTGTGTATTCACAGCTGGTAGTGGTGCAACGGATCAAAAAGCTCAGGGTTCGGATCGTATCACAGTTGTGAGTCACTCATTGGATCATTTTTTCAGATCAGCAGAAAGAAAATAAAATAAAAAGACAAATAGCTTTGCTCTCTTTATTTTGTAGAACACTTAGTGCAACATTTTTTTGCTCAACGCTCTTTATATACAAACAGCATTTAGCTCAAGACTCATTTAACACGGTCATGTTTTTAGTGATTTAGAGATTTCTCAAACTTTAAGTCCTACTAGTGCAGTTTTTAATGTGGATATCTTTAATTAGTATTGCTATGGTAACAACATAGCCGTTGATGTCTTCATTTACAAATTTGGCTAATAAGAATACAATTAGGATTAGGATAAATAACATTTTTGCTATACAAAATATCAATTACAGAGAGGTCCAATTGTCGATTAAATGTTCAAACAGCTTGGCAGATGTAAGCTCACTCTCTGCATGTTCTGCTTTCTGAAGCGCTGTTCATTATTATTGTCTCCTTTTTTTACATATTTGTCCACCAATATTTACAGTTCCATTAAGTTTATGGAATAATTGTCCCAGGCATTTTGCATGCACCAACCCCCTGCTTTCACAGCAATTGGAGGTGTGTGTTTGGTGTGTGTCTTCATTTCTGCCGTTTGTATCATCGCTGTATTTTACAGGGAAGCCAAAATTCTCCCATACATGCGACTTAAACGGTTTTTCAAGTCCTCCGCTAGCCACCACCACCGTTGTGCTTTTCTCCTTTGGATAGAACAGGTGATGCCTCGGCCCTTCATGTGACCGATCCACGGACCGCATGCGTGCCAAACCGTAGGAAGGGCTCAGTGCGGATCACAGATCAATGATGATCTGTTGCACCCCTAACAGCTGGTAGCTTTTCTGAACACACATGAGTTATAGAAGACGTTCTAGTTAGGGTTCAGGACTGGTCACAGCACTGAGACCATGCTTTTAATGGTCCTCAATGATACTTGGCTGGTGACATGGGTGATGCTGTAGTTTTGCTGTTATTGGATCTATCTGCAGCTTTTGACATGGTCAATTGTGACATACGTCTGGTCTTACTGCAGCACTGGGTGTTGATCTCTGGGCTGACCCTCCAATGACTCGCTCCTACCTTCGGGGCAGGAGCTTCTGTTTAAGGATGGCTGAAGCCTCTCATGTCCTTGGCTGAGATTCCGCTTGAGTGTGCCACAGGGCTCTGTCCTTGGTCCCCTTCTGTTTGTGGTATATCTTGTACCCCTGGGGCTTCTCCTTTGTCGGCATGGTGGGAAATTCCATCTTTATGCCAAACTGTTGCCAGATCCATCTTTTAATCCGGCAGGGGGCTGGTGGAGCTGTCTCTCCACTTCTGGACTGTTTAAAAGATGTTAGATCCTGGGTGGCTTCTCACTTTTTACTCCTGTCCTGAATGACACAAAAACTCAAGTCATGATTTTCAGCCCCAGTAGATTAGATGGCTCTGGCTCTGATGTGGACTTTGGCCCTGTGCACCATTTGAAAAGAAAGTTGTCAGCAATCTGGAGATAAAAATCAACTCTGCCCACAAGTTCGAGACACAAATAATATGGTTGTGCGGCCCTGTCTTTTAATCTGAGACACTTGTCTAGGGCACACCTGGAGTCTGTTGTTCATGCATTCGTCCTATCCCAACTGGACTACTCGATGCCTTGTATGCCAGTCTGATTCAGGGCGCGGTTGGAAGGCTGCAGCTTGTCCAGAACTCGGCTGCAAAATTTCTGACAGGCACACTAGGAACATCTCACTGGCGGGCCTCACACTGGCTCCCGGTGCAGAACAGAGCCACATTTGAGATCCTCCTAATTGTGTACACGGTTCTTCAAGGTGCAGCTCTTCCTATCTGAGCATTACTGCACAGACTTGTCCCATCTTGGTCTCTTTCCTCAGCTGAGCAGGAGCTGCAGGTGGTCCCCCCGCTCCAAATACAGATCCAGGGGGATCAAACGCTCTGGAACAAATGACCTTTGAGTGTTAGGCAGGTGCCATCGCTTCTGGTTTTTAAGTCTTACTTGAAGACTCATTTTGACGTGATGGTGTTTCAGAAGTAGGAATCACAACTTTGCCTCTATCTTTTATTGTTTTTTTTAAATTGTTTTTCATCTCATTTAACCTGTTATTAATGATTGTTCATTCAACTTTCTCTTAATGTTTTCTGATTTTTATTTATCTTCCTTTTAAAATCTCTGGAGGTTTCTTCCTGTTAAATGGGAGTTTTCCTCTCCACTGTCGCTGCATGCTTGCTTAGTATGAGGATTGCTGTGTGGTCACTGGCACTTGTCAGTGGCTTGATGCAATTTGCTGGGTTCCTTATATAGGACACATTATTTCTGATTGGCTTAATGAACTGTGAATTGGAATGTTTATTATGTGAGGTGCCTTGAGACGACTCTTGTCGTGATTTGGCGCTTTATAAATAAACTTGAATTGAATTGAATTGAAAATCCACGACACTACACTTGTTCATCTCATGTGTTTTGTGGTTGTGTTGAGCGTCTTGGCCTGCTGATAAGGTTGTGGAAGGTGCTTTATAAATGAATTAACTGAACTGACCTTGGTAGAAACCAGTGGTTTTGTTGAGCTACTGATACTTTCTGTATCAACTCCAACCTCTCTTCCTATTCTCTACGGACATTTGACCTCAACAAGTCATTTTCATGCTCACAACTGCTTCTCACTGAATATTTTCTCCTTTTGGACCATTGTCTGCGAACCCTAAACATGACAGTGGGCGGAAATCCAAGTAGATCAACAGTTTCTGAAATACTCAGACCAGCCCATCTGTTACCAACAACCACGCCATTTCCAAAGTCCCTTAAATCTTTTTTCTCCATTCTGATGCTCGCTTTGATGCTCAGCAATTCATCTTCATCAAATCTAGATGACTGAATGTTGCCATGGGATTAGATGGTTAGCTGTTTGTGTTGACAAGCAATGTAACCTAACACAGTGGCTGATGGGTGTGTACAGGGTATCCGCGGGTCCTTAAAAAGTCTTAAATTTGCTTTTCCAAATTTAAGGCCTTAAAAATCCTTAAAAATGACAAATAATCCTTAAATAGTTTCCAAAGGTCTTAAATTACCAAAGACCCAATAAACTAGATTAGTTTATTTCTATGACTTTTTCGTGAATTTCTAGTTAGTGTTCAGCATTTTTTGTGTACGATGTTGGCGTAAGCGGAACCGTACACATTCAGCTGGTTGTGAAAGGGGGCTATTTTTAGATGAGCATGCTAGTGGGAGTTTGCGCCATGGGGAAGTGCAACATTAATGGTAACTGGATGGCTAATCCCACGTTCACGACGTGGTTAGCACCGGTTCCAGGCAATAGCTGGAAATTATAGCTTAAATTTTATTATAAAAATAGCTTAAATTTGGTCAAAGTGGCCTTAAAAAGGTCTTAAAAAGTCTTAAATTTGGCTCCCTTAAACCTGCAGATACCCTGTGTGTATAAACTATATTGAAAGGCTCTTGAAACCTTTAACCACATGCACAGATGTCTTGGGCACCCTTAGTTTAAACTGCTAATCAGTAGAAATCAGGCAGTGGATGTCCTTTTGATTGACCTTTTGGCTTTTTTAGAAATCCGAGATATGAAAATGTTTCTTCTGTTCCAGTTTTGGTTTTGTTTACACTTCCTCTGCTCTTGTTTACTTTTTTCAGATATGCTGCCAAAAGTGGAGACTCGTGTTGTTCTGGTTGGAGAAGCAGGCAGAAATGGAGCACTGGTCAAAGCTCTGCAGGTAAAAAATACAACTAACTTAAAGTAACTGCAGGTTACATTAAAAGTTACATGAAATAAATGCGTGATGACGTGAGGAAAATTAAACTTAACTGAAGTTTATGTGATTAGTCTTTTTCCTGACTGGATAAAAGGAAATAACTTTTGAATCTTGTGTGACAAAAACACATAGAAGAAAAACGTCTTCAGGAGTAAGAATAAATGTTGTTTACATACAAATATTTAGGACAGACAAACTGTACTTTTTATACTTCTTGTTTTGTGTTTAGTGTTTTCTTTGCTGCTTGCTACCACAACTCAATAGTTCACGTAGCTCACACCTTCCCTTATTTCTTGTTTGTTCAGATTTCCAGTCGGTCGAGTATTAATAATAGTCTAATATTATTCTAATACTAAAGTCTTTCAGCATCTTTTGTAATGTTCCAGGAGTTCTGACGTCTGGATTAACATCGCGGGTCCTTAAAAAGTCTTAAAAAGTCTTAAATTTGCTTTTCCAAATTTAAGGCCTTAAAAATCCTTAAAAATGACAAATATACAGTTTCCAAAGGTCTTAAAATACCAAAGACCCAATAAACAAGATTATTTTATTTCTATAAAATTTTTGTGAATTTCTAGTTGGCGTTCAGCATTTTTTGTGTACGATGTTGGCGTAAGCGGAACCGTACACGTTCAGTTGGTTGTGAAAGGGGGATATTTTTACATGAGCACATTAGCTGGTTAAGCTAGTGGGAGTTTGCGCCATGGGGAAGTGCAAGTTTAATGGTAACTGGATGGCTAATCCCAAGTTCGTGACGTGGTTAGCACCGGTTCCAGGCAACAGCTGGAAATTGTAGCTTCAATTTAATTTTTAAAAATAGCTTAAATTTGGTCAAAGTGGCCTTAAAAAGGTCTTAAAAAGTCTTAAATTTGGCTCCTTTAAACCTGCAGATACCCTGATTAAACATGCTCCCACCATTTGACCAATCATAGTTGTTTTACTTCTCTTAAGGAGGGATTTAAAGAGTTTAAGGCGTTTAGCCCATGTCACTAAGCGAGATTCATTTCCACCGTAGTTTCATGGCTGGTTCGTTGAGCCAGCGGTTAAATAACATCTCGTGTTATTCCAAACCTTTTGGAGCTTGTTTGTACCCTTTATGCACAAACCTAGAAACTTTTAATTTGAACATGTTTCATTATTTACTGTTTAGAGGTGTGGAACAGTAATATATATAATATATTTTATTTCCGATTATAATCTGTCACTCTGAGTTTTTCATGCAGGCTGAACACGGAAATAGTCTTCTACACCTACCTGCATCAGCTTCTGATAGAAAATAGATGGTGAAACTCTAGGATATGAAAATCCTGATAGATCTGTGTCGCACTGAATTAGCATTCCATGGACCCACCCATCTTGACTCATGACGGGGAAGGCTGTTGTTGGTTTAAGCCTGATTCATGCTTCTCCGTCAGCTCCGCAAGGGACAGACACGCACGGATTGACGGAAGCGTTTTCAATTCAATTCAAGTTTATTTATATAGCGCCAAATCACGACAAGAGTCGTCTCAAGGCACTTCACATAATAAAAATTCTAATTCAGGTCAGTTCATTAAGCCAATCAGAAATAATGTTTCCTATATAAAGAACCCAGCAAACTGCATCAAGTCACTGACTAGTGTCAGTGACTTAATAGCAATCCTCATACTAAGCAAGCATAAAACGACAGTGGAGAGGAAAACTCCCTTTTAACAGGAAGAAACCTCCAGAGAATCCTGGCTCAGTATAAGCAGCCATCCTCCACGACTCACTGGGGATCGAGAAGACAGAGCAGGCACACACACACACACACACACACACACACACACGCTCTCATACTTCTCCGTCTCCTGGGGAGTGTTGCAAAGCAATTCCCCGCCAGGACAACAGAGGGCGTAGCGCTGTTCTGTGGTATCCTGTCATGTATCCGGTCCAAGATAGTGTGTTTATATTGTGTTTTCTGTGTATATAAGAGACTTTTTAACACGGACAAATTTGTCTCTCATCCTCCTCCACCTCTTCATGCGCTCGCCGCCTCTAAACCCACGTTTCCTGTCATTTCCGTCCACAAATAAAACGCTTGCTAAGCATCTTTTCACTCCTCCAGTTACGGGGGAATTAAACGTTCATGTTTTTAGAGTTTTTTTGCGAGGTATTCTTCAAGCTGCTCCGTGTCTGCCGCTAGTTATCCTCGGCTGTCTTTGTGTTTTTGAGGGCGCAATGGCCGCGGTGTAGACAACAGCGGCGTCCTGACCAATCACAAGCTTGCGTTCTCCGTCTCGACTGACGGATGTTTAGAAAAGAGAGCTCGACTCCGCCCGTCCTTGCGGAGCTCTACGGCAGGCCCGCGAGGACGTTGCGTGTCTCCGCACTGACGCAGACGGAGAAGCATGAATCAGGCTTTAGCGTCCAGGAAACCGCAGAGAACATCTCGGCTATTAGAAGCTAACCATTAGCAATTGCAACTCCACCACATGGCAGGCAGAAGCTCCACCAGACTTGTGATATTTTGGACATAAAACATCCACGATGCTGTTATCCAATCTGTAGCAAGATGTCCAAATATCAGGAAATAAGACTCCAAACCCTGCTGTGTTCGACCGCTCTCTGCTCCAGCTGACTTCTCCAGGCATTTCTGGGGTCGCACACACTCAAGCCATGCATTCCTACTAGAGACCACCACAGATGTATTGTTAAAACGAGTGTTCCACGCCTTTAAATCAATTCATTTTCTCTTTGCTTTACAGTTGGAGTTAGCTGCTACACCAGGAGGACCAGCTAAAATAGTTTCTTTTTAGAGGACAGTGCATTTTTTTCCAGCGTTTGTCCTTTTCCTGTTCAGGGCTTTGAGCTTCATATTAATTTTTAACTAGAAGTTCTGCTTTTCACTCCACCCCCTCAGGAGTGTGATATTTGCTAGAAGCCTCTGTCTTTAGACATTATCAGGACCAAACCCCACACCATCATCTCCATACTTGTTTGCTCTTTCCTTCATTTGAGCCCTCACATCTCCACTCACACGACAGTAATGTGAACATCTTTGTCCATTGCTTTCTTTCACTTATTTATTTCAATTTTATTTATTTATTTTTTTCCCTTTTAACCTTCAGATCTTCTCCTCTTTTCTCATAGTCTCCATTTTTTTCCCCAAATGCCAGTGTTTGATGTCCATTCCCTGCTGGTTGGTTTTTACAGGCCGTCAGAGTAATGGAGGTACCCGTGGTAAAGATAAGAGAAGGCGAGGCTGGTGCCGAGGAGAAAATGATGATAAAATCTATAGTCAATATGGTACAGTAAAGTGTCTGCCTCTCAGTGTGACTGTCTGACACCTGATGGGGACTTGGAAGTTCTGCATGAACCTTAATTCTCACCAAGTGCTCATTCAATCTCTGCATGATTAATTCACTGATGCTGAACAGATTTCTGGGTGAATATCTTGACAGACGTTTTGCGGTGGCTGGTGTCTGGGTTGTGGACTGAGGGTTTTGCACTTGAACATCAAAGGGAGTTTTTAGACTCTTGGAGTAGAGCGAAACCCTGACTAACATGACTGACAGGTCTGAATGCTTGGTCCTGCCAATAAACTCAAGTCAAAATAACGTGTCTAACTCGACCAGACTGAACTAGGGCTGGGCGATATGGCAAAAATAGAATATCACGATTTTTCCAATATTTTATCACGATTTCGATTTTATCACGATTTTTTATCCATGAATAGCATAACTTCAATTGCGCATTAAAGAAGAGAAACATTGAATAAATAAACATTTATTCATATTAGGGATAATCAGCACAGTGCTAACACACTTATATTTTAAACTCACACCAGAGATGATAAAAGCCCCGAGAGAAACAATTACAAAAATCAGTTTTTCTCGTTTTTCAAGTAACTTAACATAAATTAAAATCGTAAACATATTTAAAGTGCAAACATGTCAATTGCAAACGTATTGTGCAAACATTAACTTGTTCAAAATACTATGTAGCTCCCAGTTGCTCATGTAGTGGATAGTTAAGCTCAAATACGGCTCTGATGTGTGGCTGGACCAGAGATCGCTTGTGGTAGCAAAAAACTGCGCATTCTGAATATTTTCTGCAACTCTCACTTTGCATTCAGCGTACATGCATGGAATGGCGGTGTTCGAAAAATACTTGCGGCTGGAAAACTCGTAGCGCGGATCCAATGTTTTTATCATGTTCTTAAATCCCGCTCCTACTGTTCGCACGGGACACAAATCTTTAACCAAGTGGTACGTCACTGCATCTGTCCCGCTGTTCCATCGTCTGCTGTCTCTGTCGTAGGGAGTGAGTTTTGTGTTTCTGTTAGCTTTAGCTGCCAGCTGGCTCTCATTGTATTGTTTGGGATGGCTTCTTTTCAAGTGATTAAACGAGTTTGTGGTGTTGCCATCACTTGCCTTGACGCTCTCCTTGTAAATGACGTTTCGCTGCTCTTTGTCATCTGGTGAAAAACCAAACCAGTTCCGTATAATGGACGAGGCGTTCCTCTTCGGAACGAAAACCTCGCTGTCGCTGCAGCCGCGGCCGAAGCCATGTTTGTTCACACACAGGTGAAAACAAGCGGGGCACTAATATATTACTATGACTCACTCTGATTGGTTAAGGGTCAAACAAAGGCGTGTCATTCGCCTGAGGTAAGTTCCCTTTTCATTCAGAGGCAGAAATTCAACAGCAGAGCTGTGAATCGTGATAAAACGGTCTCTCAAAAATGACAGACGGTCAGATGTGTAGATCGTAAAACGGTCTAAAATCGTCATATCGCCCAGCCCTAGACTGAACTGCTTCTGCATCACAAATGACACGTCAGTACAAAATTACATTTAATTAGGACCAACAGTCCTATTAGTATTTGTTCGTACTAGCAAGTCACCTCTATGTAAGCAGATGCCCAACGCTATTGGCTAATGCTGAACTGTTTGCTTGAGACTCTCTGGGACTGGGTGTGGGCTTAATAAAACATTCAGATGTATTATATCACAGAACGGGGTAAGACTATAACTTTTAAGGATTTCTAAAAGAAATCCTATGTAATTCCTGAAAAACAGGAAACTTCTTGATTGCTGCTATCAAGTAATTTAGTTCAATTTAACTTTACGATTGTCCAAAATGCATACAAACAATATGGTCAAATCTAAGTGGAAAGATTTGGTATTTTAATAGAAAACTCTGAAACCCTGAGTTGTCATATCACACAAACGCACACATGTGATATAATTTATTAAACCATATAAGTCATGTTAGTCTGGGTTCAATTTAAACCATTTAAAGAAAATGTATTTTTTTGGCATTTGACAATTTTAATTGTCCGCCCAAAGGAGAAAAGAGACTTTCCTCTTATGTCAAACTCTTAAAAAATAGATGAAATTGCTTCTGAACTCCTAATATTCAGAGCTGAAAATCTTTCAGCCTTTGAATTTTTGAGACTTGTTGACGTAAAACAAGATTTTAACAGAAAAACAGAACAATATTGTTTAGATTTGTTCTTCTTTTTGTTTGTTTTCCCTATGCAGAGGAAACAAGCTTACAATAAATTAAGTATGCAAAGCTAATTATTTCTGCTAATTAATTAACTCTCAGAAGGCCAACAATCACAAAGCTAACAAGCTTCCTGCTACTAGTTATTTGCTTACGTACAAATGTCACATTTACTTGTCGTCGTTGTGCTTATTCATCTCCGCTTGTTACGTTTCCTCCTCTCCAGGACATCAACAGCCCATTCTTAGTGACTGAGAACGTCCAGGAGTTTGGAGATGGCGATAACACGGAGTTTGAGACCGTGTTTGTCCTCACAGACTTTAACTCCCCCGACTACAGCTACCTCTACAAACGCGATAACCGAATCATCGGCCCCCCCGTTGTTCTGCACTGTGCAGCCAAAGATGAGGTCGGGCCTTTTTTAAATAAAACATTTCATTCTTGCAGGTTCTTTCTGTTTTGCATGTTTATTGTAACATTTCAAATGATGTTTTCACACAGCATTTTCATCTGACATAACTTGCATGTTCATTTGTATTCAGGGTATCCGCGGGTCCTTAAAAAGTCTTAAATTTGCTTTTCCAAATTTAAGGCCTTAAAAATCCTTAAAAATGACAAATATACAGTTTCCAAAGGTCTTAAATTACCAAAGACCCAATAAACAAGATTCTTTTATTTTTGTCAAATTTTTGTGAATTTCTAGTTAGTGCTCAGCATTTTTGTGTGTACGATGTTGCCGTAAGCGGAACCGTACACGTTCAGTTGGTTGTGAAAGGGGGCTATTTTTAGATGAGCACATTAGCTGGTTAAGCTAGTGGGAGCTTGCGCCATGGGGAAGTGCAAGTTTAATGGTAACTGGATGGCTAATCCCACGTTCGCAACATGGTTAGCACCGGTTCCAGGCAATAGCTGGAAATTATAGCTTAAATTTAATTTTAAAAATAGCTTAAATTTGGTCAAAGTGGCCTTAAAAAAGGTCTTAAAAAGTCTTAAATTTGGCTCCCTTAAACCTGCAGATACCCTGTGTATAATTTCAGACCTAAAGTTATGTTTTTAACGCCCTGATTTTGTTGCAGCCTCTACATTTTTCCTGCCGTCCCCTGTACTGCACGACCATGCTCAGTCTGTCTCTGTGTTTCACGGGCTTCAGGAACAAGGAAATGATGGTGAGGCTGATGGGACATTTTACACCTGCTCATTTGGTCATTTACGTTAGCATGGCAAACGCCACACTCTGGCCATTCTTTGTGGGAGTACATGGTATGTGGTAGTCATGCTGCCATCCAATCAGCAGCCACACCATTCTCCGTTATGGAAGGTGATAAATGACCTCTACATTTGGAGGCTGATCTTGATGTTTGTTATGTGCTTGTTTTGCCAGAAAACTTTGGTGAATCTGGTTCATCACATGGGCGGAACCATCCGGAAAGATTTTAGCTCCAAGGTTACTCATCTCATTGCTAACTCAACTAACGGGGAGAAATACAGGGTTGGTACATCTTTACTATTAAAGGGATGATTTCTATGTATTTATTTACATTTTGACAGATTGTGACATCACTTCTGATTTCCATTAGGCAGGTATATCTAATGTAAACTTGAAAATACCCCAAACAGCAATGTTTCTCCTATTTTATCAGCCAGACAGCCTGATTTATTTTTTAGATCATTCAGGTTTGCTGTAGCGTTTCAGGTGCATTTGGAGGTGAGTCTTAATAATAAGGTTGGACTTTGTAAAATCTCAGTAAGCCATCAAGACTAGAGTGCTAGAAACTAAAACTGAGATTGATTAAAAGTTAGGAAACTAAGGGGGGAGGGGGGGTTACAAACTCGACAAACAAAAAAGCAGGCAGGAAACACAATCGTTTTAGGTACAGCCGCAATCTTAGTTTTTATCTTCCCAGAGTTTTTGTTTGACCTCAGTGACTTCTAGGGATGGGTACCGAATTCGGTACTTTTTAAGGTACCGACCGGATTCCATAGTACCAACCGAGCACCGATTCATGTAATTTCAAACGGTGCCTCATTTCGGTACCCGCCCTTCATAACGAGAATTTGCCAAGACAGCTGCGCATGCGCAAGAGCGTTACGTCGTCGCTCGCTGCGAGCGAGTTGTAAACAGAGCAGCATGGTAGAAAGAACGCACGCTAAAGCTTGGGTCCACTTCACTAAATGTGATGGGTAACTGGGTGATGATGAAACCAGCGACAACGATCTAAGTGAGACATCCTCATCTTAATCTGCTCCGGTAGGTAAATAAAATGTTTAAGATAACGTTAGCTTGATATGTTAGCTTCCGTTTCACTAATGGTGCGTTCGCTTTCTCCTCGGAACTCCGAATTTCCGACTAGAAGAACATGAACGCGCTCTAAAGTTTGGCTTCACTTTACTAAATGTGACGGGTGATTGGGTGAAGACGAAACCAGCGACAACGATCTAAGTGTGAGGCATCATCGTTTTAATCTGCTCCAGCAGCTAAATAAACTGTTTAAGATAACGTTAGCTTGATATCTTAGCTTCTATTGCCACCATTGTTATCAGCTAATGGTGCGTTCGCTTTCTCCTCGGAAATTCTAACTTCCCAGTAGGAAAAATCAAATGAAAAAGGACGGCAAACGGAATGAAGATACACAGTAAATTTAGTTCACAGTAAAGATGTTTGCTTCAGTTTAATTATCAGCTTATAAAACTACAAGGACGATGTTAAAATACAAACAGTTGAATGTTATTTTTCGTGATATTTATCAAATATGGTTATATATTGAGAAAAATATATATTTAATTATAAAAGAGAGTTAAAATAATAAACACTCAACGGTACCAATTTTCGATACTTTTAAGTATCGGTGTCGATTCCTAGGTACCGGGAATTAGTACCGAATCGATTCAAATGTCAAAGGTACCCATCCCTAGTGACTTCCATGTTTTAATAAACATGTTGCCTTTCGCCTAAAGTCTGTGCTGCTGTCTGAGTGTGACTGTTTATGTCTCAGTAGGGTTGAGAAGTTTGAAATATCATCATTATAGATGGATGGATGACTAGACAAAGTCATTCCTTCAGCTTACCTCTGAACAAGTTCTTCATGCTGTATTGGTCACTTTTCCCTCTATCTCTCTCTTTCTTTCTCTTCCACTATTATCCCTCTTTCTTTGTTTTTATTAATTTTTGTATTATTTGTTCTGTTTGTTTCTCCTGCTGGCTCCTTTGTTTTGTTTTGTTTATGTCTTGCAGTAAGGAGGTAGCATTTAGTGTGATACAGTGAAGGCTGTTTTACATTTAAAAGTGTGAGGCTGGGTTATTAATAAAAGAGAAAAAAGGTAATTTAATCCTCCAAAAACACACATCAGGCTTTGATTGTGGTGGTACGGTTGGGTCTAATGGAAGCACAACCTAAAGGTGGTTGGGTTTAACATGTACTAAAGTCAACTTCGTCCTTTCCTTCACCTCCCAGGTAGCGGCGTGTATGGGGACTCCCATCCTGAGTTCATCTTGGATTCAGAAGGCGTGGGAGAGAAGGGATGATGTGTAAGTTTATAAACTCGTGCAGCTAAAATGTTTCAGTTTGTAAACTCTCGGTAGGATTTCTTCACCTAAATTAAATCAGATGAGACAAAACAGCTGAAGCAAATTGATTTAAATAGGCAGGTATTTTCCAGCATAGAAACAACAATGCATACATGTCAGTAGTGTAAGATCATCTGCTTCTGTCCTGTTACAAGAGTAGTTCTGCACAATCGACTCCACTTTGCCTGGCTGCACTGAGGATTGTCAACGATCAAATGCTGTGGGTCAGATTTAGAGATGCCACCGATTGTGCAAGTTCTCTCACTTAAAATGATGACAGAGGTCAGTAATTTACATCATAGGTACACTTCAACTGTGAGAGACAGAATATGAAAAAAAAATCCATGAATTCACATGGCAGGATTTTTAAAGAATTTATTTGTAAATCAGGGTGGAAAATAAGTATTTGGTCACTTCAAACAAGGAAAATCTCTGGCTCTCACAGACCTGTAACGTCTTCTTTAAGAAGCTTTTCTGTCCTCCACTCGTTACGTGTATTAATGGCACCTGTTTGAACTCATTATCTGAATAAAAGACACCTGTCCACAGCCTCAAACAGTCAGACTCCAAACTCCACTATGGCCAAGACCAAAGAGCTTTCGAAGGACACCAGGAAAAGAATTGTAGACCTGCAGCAGACTGGAAAGAGTGAATCTACAATAGGCAAGCAGTTTGGTGTGAAAAAATCAACTGTGGGAGCAATTATCAGAAAATGGAAGACATACAAGACCACTGATAATCTCCCTCGATCTGGGGCTCCACGCAAGATCTCATCCCGTGGGGTCAAAATGATCATGAGAACGGTGAGCAATAATCCCAGAACCACACGGGGGGACCTGGCGAATGACCTGCAGAGAGCTGGGACCACAGTAACAAAGGTCACCATCAGTAACACACTACAACGGCAGGGAATCAAATCCTGCAGTGCCAGACGTGTTCTGCTGCTGAAGCCTGTGCATGTCCAGGCCCGTCTGAAGTTTGCCAGAGAGCACATGGATGATACAGCAGAGGATTGCGAGAATGTCATGTGGTCAGATGAAACCAAAGTAGAACTTTTTGGTATAAACTCAACTCGTCGTGTTTAGAGGAAGAAGAATACTGAGTTGCATCCCAAGAACACCATACCTACTGTGAAGCATGGGGGTGGGAACATCATGCTTTGGGCCTGTTTTTCTGCTAAGGGGACTGGACGACTGATCTTTGTTAAGGACAGAATGAATGGGGCCATGTATCGTGAGATTCTGAGCCAAAACCTCCTTCCATCATTGAGAGCTTTGAAGATGAAACGTGGCTGGGTCTTCCAACATGACAATGATCCCAAACACACCGCCCGGGCAACAAAGGAGTGGCTCCGTAAGAAGCATTTGAAAGTCCTGGAGTGGCCTAGCCAGTCTCCAGACCTCAACCCCATAGAAAATCTGTGGAGGGAGTTGAAAGTCCGTGTTGCTCGGCGACAGCCCCAAAACATCACTGCTCTCGAGAAGATCTGCATGGAGGAATGGGCCAAAATACCAGCTACTGTGTGTGCAAACCTGGTAAAGACCTATAGTAATCGTTTGACCTCTGTTATTGCCAACAAAGGTTATGTTACAAAGTATTGAGTTGAATTTTTGTTATTGACCAAATACTTATTTTCCACCCTGATTTACAAATAAATTCTTTAAAAATCCTGCCATGTGAATTCATGGATTTCTTTTCACATTCTGTCTCTCACAGTTGAAGTGTACCTATGATGTAAATTACTGACCTCTGTCATCATTTTAAGTGGGAGAACTTGCACAATCGGTGGCTGAATAAATACTTTTTTTTGCCCCTCTGTAAGGTGTAGAATGTGTGGATATTGGCCCATAAAAATCGGCAGTACTTATTGGCCATTGGCAGTAAGACAATGGTGTGTTCATGTTTCTTTCGTCCAACTGTTTTAAAGGGAATTTCATGCAAACGATGAGGAGTTCCGGCTGGAGTTCAAAGTTCCTCCGTTCCAAGACTGCATTCTTAGTTTCCTGGGGTTCTCGGAGGAAGAAAAGGCCAACATGGAGGAGAGGACTCTTAAACATGGTTTGTGGTTCAGCTGCAGGTTTTGGTTAAGAATCCTACTGAATAAAGTTAACATCGTTAATCTTCAACAAGCCTCTTTGTTCATTATAAATGAAATGTTAGTAATGGTCAGAAATATTTACTTAGAAGTTATGCTAAGAAAAAAATGTCAGTGTGTTGTTGTTTATTTCTACATTTGGCTGAGTTTCAACAGCTGCTTCATCGGTTTTATCTTTGCGTGAAAGGCGGCTGGTACCTGGAGGTTGGAGACGAGAGGTGCACTCACCTGGTGGTGGAAGAAAACTCGGTGAAGGAGCTGCCAGTATCGCCTTCAAAGAAACTGTTTGTGGTCAAACAGGAGGTCAGCCCTTTATTCATGTCCTAATATCAAACACTGCACAGTTCAGTAAAATTTCAAAAGATTTACATATCAGCGTTTAAAGTGGTGTCTCTAAGCTAATGAACATGTGACCCATTCATAACTCTTGTGTGTTATTTAGAATAAAGCAGCCTGGATCTGCTGGTTGCTGTTTTTACTCTGCCTGCTTGTTGTAGTTAGCAGAAATATGTGTCTCTGTTGTGTGGCAGTGGTTCTGGGGAAGCATTCAGATGGATGCTCGGGCCGGAGAGTCCATGTACCTTTATGAAAAGGTGAGCGCATAATTCACGATTATCTGTGCCTTTTAAAGGGCTGAGTTACCACAGATGCAGTGGTATTAGAAGTGTGCATAAACAGAGATGCCTGTTTAAGGATTCATACAGTGATTGTCTAACTGCACTAGGGATGGGTACCTTTGACATTTGAATCGATCCGGTACTAATTCCCGGTACCTACGAATCACCGGTACTTAACGGTACCAATTTTCGATACTTTTGAGTGTTTATTATTTTAATTCTCTTTTATAATTAAATATATATTTTTCTCAATATATAACAATATTTGATAAATATCACGATAAATAACATACAACTGTTTGTATTTTAACATCGTCCTTGTAGTTTTATAAGCTGATAATTAAACTGAAGCAAACATCTTTACTGTGAACTAAATTTACTGTGTATCTTCATTCCTTTTGCCGTCTTTTTTCATTTGATTTTTCCTATTGGGAAGTTAGAATTTCCGAGGAGAAAGTGAACGCACCATTAGCTGATAACAATGGTGGCAATGGAAGCTAACAACATATCAAGCTAACGTTATCTTAAACAGTTTATTTAGCTGCTGGAGCAGATTAAAACGATGATGCCTCACACTTAGATCGTTGTCGCTGGTTTCATCTTCACCCAATCACCCGTCGCATTTAGTAAAGTGAAGCCAAACTTTAGAGCGCGTTCATGTTCTTCTAGTCGGAAATTCGGAGTTCCGAGGAGAAAGCGAACGCACCATTAGCGAAACGGAAGCTAATATATCAAGCTAATTATATTTACCTACCGGAGCAGATTAAGATGAGGATGTCTCACTTAGATCGTTGTTGCTGGTTTCATCATCACCCAGTTACCCATCACATTTAGTGAAGTGGACCCAAGCTTTAGCGTGCGTTCTTTCTACCATGCTGCTCTGTTTACAACTGGCTCGCAGCGAGCGACGACAAAACGCTCCTGCGCATGCGCAGCTGTCTAGGCAAGTTCTCGTTATGTAGGACGGGTACCGAGGCACCGTTTGAAATGACGTGAATCGGTGCTCGGTGGGTACTATGGAATTCGGTCGGTACCTTAAAAAGTACCGAATTCGGTACTCATCCCTAAACTGCACCAATAAACTGTTGGTCATGTGTAATGTATTATACGTTTGTATCTATGCACCCCAGAATGACAGCCCAGCCATGAAGAAGGCCGTGTCCCTCCTCTCCCTCACCACCCCAAACAGCAACCGGAAGCGCCGGCGTTGGCGGGACACGCTGGCTCAGCTCGCCAAGGAGACGGACATCTCCCCTTTCCCTCCACCGCGCAAAAGACCGTCAGCAGAGCACTCCTTATCCGCTGGCTCGCTGCTCGACATCTCCAACACCCCCGAGACATGCAAAGCGTTATCGGGTAATGTCAGGATAGGTCCTCGTCGACTCATCAGTCTTGCGGGTTTTTGGTTGCTACGCAAGACAGAAAAATGCAGTTCTTCTGACGCCCGAGTGTTTGTGTGATGGCTGATTGTTTCTTCATCATAAGAGAATCGTACTCACAACCTTTCATTCCAGAAGACAGAGTAGGAGACGGTACTGCTGCCAGGGACAGTGCTGTGACCAGGAATAGGATGAGAAGGAAAGCCAAAGAAAGGAGATCTAGGACTGATAGGGAGGAAAGGAAGAAAAGGTCCCACCTGAGAAAAAAATCCTGTCGGCGATCAACCGAAGAGCAACATGAAAATGCTTCTCCAGGTTAGGTTGAATTGAAGGGTTCAGTCCCTGTGGATTAACACAACCATGAGCTATGTGACAGTATGGAGATGTAATCCACCCTAATCTCTCGATTTGTTTGTTGACACAATCTTATCAGCAGCGATGCCATTTCCTTCATGTCTTGGTCAACAGTGAGTACGTTTACATGCAGCCAATACCCAGGTTATGATCGGGTTAAGGTCGGTATTCGGGTTTCTGAGTTGATCAGAATAACCCGTTTACAAGCATAAATAGAAAGAGTTATCCCTAACTTGCATAACCCGATTTAAAGAGCAAGTCACCCCCAAATCAACTTTTTTTTGCTGATAAACTAAATAAACAAGTGTCTAATCGTGCTGCAGACATGTGTCGTCAATAATTTGGTACTTCAGTGCATCTTAGTTAAAATTTAAATATTCTGCCTAAAACTGTCAGTGTTGTGCCGTTGTCAGGTAAAAACTCTGCACTGCATTAGAATTTAAATCTGCCACCGCTATTGGCTAAGAGGTATGCTATGATGTAAACTGGTACATTATGATGTCACAATGCTGTCGTGAGCCTGAGTGTGTGTGTATTTGTTAGCGGCTCTGCCCTCTCGGTCTGCCAGGCAACAGCATTTGTTGCATTTTTCAAACATGAAGTGGGAGTGGAGTTAGACTCTGGTAGGGGGTGACTTGCTCTTTAAATGCGGACGTTGGGGTAGCGTCAGGACGTGTGGACTACGTCCAGACACAATATGCGTCATTTCCGGTTCTTCTTGTTCCGGTATCCGTGAAAACAACAACATGTTTCCCAGTTCGGAAGAGATAGCGACCGCGTTTGTTTGCGCTTTAGTTTCCTCGTCACTCCGAAAGTGTGGTGCTGTGCCGCGACTCGCCATGTTGCTCCCAACTTGTTGTTTACTTCCAGTGTTCTGGCGCATACAAGAAGTCTCGCTACTCAAAAGACCAAAATTCCTTGTGACCAGAGCATGCGCAGAACACACGCTTTGATGGGGATATCCCGATATGCGTTTACACGACCAAACATTCGGGTTAGAAAAGGGTTACCCCAGGTGTAGTAACCGGGTTTTTAAAAACCCGGTTATGAGCATATCCGGGTTTTTGGCGGTGTTTACATGGACCTGCGGAACCGGGTTATTGTGAATATTCGGGTTTTAAAAGGGTTACTGGCTGCATGTAAACGCACTCATCGTAAACAAACATTTAAAGAGCAAGTCACCCCTTACAAGAAGCGTACTTCACTCCCACTTCATGTTTGAATAATGCAACAAATGCTGTTGCCTAGCAGACCGAGAGGGTGGAGCCACTAACAAATACACACACTCATGACATTGTGACATCATAATGTACCAGTTTACATCATAGCATACCCCTTAGCCAATAGCGGTGGCAGATTTAAATTCAAATGCAGTGAAGAGTTTTTACCTGACAACGGCACAACACTGCCAGTTTTAGGCAGAAATTTTTAATTTTAGCTAAAATGCACTAAAGTGCTAAACTATTGACTACACGTGTCTGCAGCACGATTAGACACGCATTTATATAGTTTATCAGAAAAAAATAGTTGATTTGGGGGTGACTTGCTCTTTAACTCCTACACCTGTCGATGCTTCACTAAACAGTCGTCTCTACATGACTAAAGTTTAATGTCACCTTTCAGTAATAGTACCCACACTAGCGTGTCTTGTCACAAATGTAATGTCATTTCCTACATGTAGAGATCCCTTTAGCATTATAAATCACACATTGCTGTTACCTCTGAATTCAGAAGTAGGATTTTCAAGCCTACTATGTCAGGAAATGGCAACAACAAGGTTTCCCAAGGTTGGATAAACTCGTTAAACCAAGTTTAGCTCACAATCTAACCTACCCAGGAAACAAAACCGGCTTACTCTTAGTAGATTTAATTATAAAGTCCTTCATGCATTCCAGGTTCAGTGTTCTGTTGCTAACAGAGTGCAGCATTCCTCATTCTCTTTAGCTTAGATTTTGGGTTGCCCTACTCTTGCCACTCGTCATACAAACATGTATACCGTTGTATCGTTCAAAATGTTGCCAGTTACCCTGAAAGTAAGATGAACCAATAAGATTAAAGCCGACCAGAAAAAGGCGGAATTAAAGGGAGAGTCCGCTTCTAGAAGGATGAACTTGTAATGCTAGAAGCAACACAGCAGACATGTTTCTCAGGTGTTGGATTTGAAGAATGATAAAAGACTAAGAATAACAGTGGAAGCTATCGTAGACCCTTTTACTGTTTGTAAACAATATGACGTCAGCGAGAATGCGCGCGCAGCTCGGCAACAGAGAATGGCGTTGTGTCAGGCTTTATCAAGCTACGCTGCGGGGTTATCACCGGCAAATCTTGAATGTTATATTATTAAACTCACTTTAACGAATGGCAACAGACTCCCGGATCCCTGTGGCATTACGGAATGGGTGGAAGACGTAGGTGCGTGGCCCGATATACATACGTTTCTAGTGGAGAGGCCCAGTAAGTACACATGTGAGAAGCTACAGGCATACAAATCGTTAGATGCATACAAATATGTTGTCTGTGGCCACATACAGAAAGTAAAATATCACGACATAGACTCTGAGTTTTGCGTCTTGAAGGCAGAAGTCCTTCCTAGCCAAAGACAAGGACACAAGACTGCTATATACGAGGCTTGGGTCAGAGTAAACAAACCAGAGAACTGTGTACCTGCATGGCAGGGTGAGTATAGCATAGGTTTCTTTTTTTAGTGTGCTCAGAGTACAATCGTGTTAATTTTTAGAGAAATACAGTTTATACTAATATGCAGTGGGAAAATACAGATGAATTAGAATGAAATGTTAATTTCATTTGCAAACCAGCAAACGGAACTTACTTTAATTAATAGAACACACGTTAACCAGCTTTCTGGTGTAATCTTAGTACATAATTACCTTACCTGATATAAAATGGGCGCTACAAACTCGAGCATTTCGGATCGTGTTTTCAGTCGAGTTTTCATCAACCCTTTTGATGGCCTGCAGCCACAGACGCCTCCGATTTTGTTGAAATGGATGTGCTCCCTTCGGAATTCTGTAAAGTTTCAGTCCACTGCTTGAAGAGAAGCGATTCTGGCATCCATACACGCAACAACCCGACATTTTTATGTGCTCAGAACTTCAAAACAAAGGGTTTAAAACACTGTTTTAGTATCGAGTGTGAATGAGGAAGCCTTCACTCTCGTTGCCAGGCTGCGCGCGCAACTTTTGATGACGTAGGTAGTAAAAGGGTCTATAACTCGTTAGTCGTATGTTTTGAGAACATTGAATAGCCAAGATCTGACTTTTGTTTTATCTTAGTGGGCTTCCTCCTTTGAAACCAGAGTACTTGTCATGTTTGTAAAAACAAGGACAAATGATGATGCGAGGGTAATAAAGAATTGCTGAAACTGGAACATTAAAGCTAAATCTCCATTGGCTGGCCAGTTTCAAAGGTGGATATGGGTTGGTATAAATCTGTGAAACTTCAGTGTGATCCAGTGGAAACACTGACGGCTTCATGTAAATGCATTTAAAACAAGGTGTGCGTTTTTTTTTCTTCCTCGGCATCATCTTTAACAGAGTAATGTTTGTGTTGCATCTTGAATAAAACACGTGATAGGTTGACCCGACATCCCGCTGCTCTCCTTTACTTCATCTACAAACTTTGTCTTCCTTCAGAGAGTTCCAAGCCATCCAAGAGCTCAACTCCGGCTCTGTCCAAGCAGTCGGCCAGGTGGCAGGTCTCCAAGGAGCTCTACCAGACTGAAAGCAACTATGTAGACATTTTAAACACCATTCTACAGGTAGGCGTGGGTGTGCATGCGCTCACTGCATGCACTGCTCTAACACCTCAGCGTGTTGCCCCTGACAACAGTTTTCAGTTAGCCAGCGATCAACTAAAGGTGTGTGTGTGTGTGTGCATGCGTGTGTGTGTGTGTGTGTATGCGTGTGTGTTTGTGAGTGTGCATGAGTGTGTATATGTGTGTGTGCGTGCGTGTGTGTTTGTGAGTGTGCATGAGTGTGTGTGTGTGCATGCGTGTGTGTTTGTGAGTGTGCATGAGTGCATGTGTGTTTGTGAGTGTGTGTATGTGTGTGCGTGTGTGTGTGAGTGAGTGTGCATGTGTGAGTGTGCATGTGTGTGTGTGAGTGCATGTGTGTGTGAGTGTGCATGTGTGTGTGCGTGTGTGTGTGAGTGAGTGCATGTGTGTGTGAGTGTGCATGTGTGTTTGTGAGTGTGCATGTGTGTTTGTGAGTGTGTGTGAGTGTGCATGTGTGTTTGTGAGTGTGTGTGAGTGTGCATGTGTGTTTGTGAGTGTGTGTGAGTGTGCATGTGTGTGTGTGAGTGAGTGTACATGTGTGAGTGTGCATGTGTGTGTGTGAGTGCATGTGTGTGTGAGTGTGCATGTGTGTTTGTGAGTGTGTGTGAGTGTGCATGTGTGTGTGTGAGTGAGTGTGAGTGTGCATGTGTGTGTGTGAGTGTGTGTATTTGCTGTAACTTGACTCAGCCGTCAGCTGGAGTCAGACAGTCCAGCGGCGAAGCAACCAGGCTGGTTATTTTTTGACCTTCCTGTCAAATTTCTTTGTTTTTTGTGTCTTCTCTTGAATTTTTATCTCTATACTTTTACTGAAGTGAAGAAAAATCTGTTGAAACTGGGTTAGGGTTTTACGTTTCAAGTCTTTATAAAAAAAAATGAAGCTGATGGTGACGATAAATGTCCGTTTCATCAGTGGATTACTTCAGAAGTCACGGTGCATTTTATTTCCAGCTTTTCAAGCATCCACTGGAGAAAGAAGGCCAAGTAGGAGGACCCATCTTGGCTCAGGAGGAAATGAAAACCATTTTTGGCAGCATTCCAGAAATCTACGAAGTTCACACCAGAATAAAGGTAGTGTTTTAAATGAGGGTAATAGTGATGGGAACTCTGGCTCTTTCATCAGAACTGGCTCCTCACAGTTTTTGTTCCTTAAATGAATTTATCACCTGAGATTATACAAAATGGTGTAAACTGAATTACTTATTTACAATTTTCATTATAGCAAATGTTTGTTATTTAAATGACAATTTTAGTCAACATGAAGCAGAGGGCTACAAAAACACATTTTAAATAACAAAATCAAAGTCTGCATGTAAAATATTTATGAACTTTGAACCATTAGAACATGTTGGATATATTTACTTGTTACATTTTCCCCGCTCTGCTTTTGAATTGTCTCTGTAGTTAAAATGTGTCCAAATCTTGTGCCTGTCATGTTTTACTCATTGCCTCATCTTTCTGTAGCGCTGTTTGTTTTTCTTTTCTCCTCTTTTACAGATCTGTCCCCACCTATTTACAGGTCCCATCAGTTAATATAATAATTGTCTCCCAGGTTATTTTTGCGTACAGTGATCCCTCGTTTATCGCGGTAGATGCGTTCCAGACCTGGCCGCGATAGGTGAAAATCTGCGAAGTAGGGACGCCATATTTACAGTATTTATTTAACAGGTACGTATTCAGTATTCAGACTTTTAAAACCCTTTTTTTTATAGTTTTATTACAAAAAGTGCATTTTATGATGAAATTGATGAAAAAAAAACAGGAATTTCTTGATATTTCGCATAGAAAAATAACGCGAATCGGCAAATTTCCCTTGAATAAGGCTGCAAAGAAAAATCTGCGAATTCGTGATTTCGCGATAAACGAACCACGAAGTAGCGAGGGATCACTGTACCATCCCTTTCACTGCTTTCACAGCATCGGATGTGCACTGCACCCCACCCCCTCTCCCCCGATCTCAAGGCAGGCAGAGGTCTTCTGCGCATGTGCGCTGCACCACACGTGCACATTTTACCGTACTTTTTATTTTATTTTTTGCAGCTCCAGGGCCTGTGAGTATGGTCTGTCACTCACTTGACTTCACCAGGAAGGAGCTGGCTCCCATTAGTCACATGAACGAGCCAGCTCTGAGAGCCGTTTTGTTTGTGACCAACACATCACTAGAGAGTAAACATAGTTTTCAAAAATTGTTCTTGACTCTTTTTTTTTTTTTTTTTTTCCTTCTCCCCAGAATGACCTAGAAGAACTCCTCACAGACTGGTCAGAAAGCCAGAGCGTGGGAAACGTCATTCTCAAATATGTAAGTCAGATGTTTATACATCAGAGCAGGATGTTGCCGTGGGACGTATCCGAGGTTATTTTCAGACTGTCCCCTCATTCAGAGCTATGTGGCTCTATTTAAATGGGGTTGCCATGTTGTGGTGTTTTATAAACTTTACAATGCCCCAGAAATCCATCCTGTGATACAACGGAAGTATTGTACGTAGGGATGTGCCGATACTGATACTGGTATCGGTACCGGCACGATACGATACCAATAACAGTATCGGTATCGGTAAAAGTTAACCGATACCAGGAACCGATACCAATGCAGTTGCTTGAAAATGGCTTCACTGTAACTTGTCGTTTCTGTTCACCTAATATTTTAGTTTTGTGGTATATTGAGAAACGGCCATAGTAAATAAACATAAATAGATAGATAGATAATCTTTATTGACAGACTCTTAGGTCCAGATAAAATACATATAAAACAACAGATCAATTAAACAAAATAGATAAATAGAATAAAAAGATAACAGCATAAAATTGAATAAAAATCTAAATGTAATTAAAAGCTTTACTATAAACTGTTCCACACAAGGTTAACCACACAAACACTTCAACCAGTATTTCCTTATACTGGAGAAATAGCGACAACTGCTCACAGTAGGATCAGTGATTGCTAAAATTATACTGTTGGCAGAGCTATCCAGTCGGCCTATAAAAGTGAATATGAGTTTTCTTAAAAGAGCTTTAAAAGTACAAACACCTGCTGTTACAAACATCTGACTGGCACTGCCCCCTCTGGGTATTTTAAGTATGATCCTTAAGGCATCGTTGTATGCAACTTGCAGCTTGTTCATGCTGCTTTGATTGTAGGATGACCACAGATGGGCTGTGTAAAGCGGAGTACAATATGCTTTAAATAAAGCCACCTTAACTGGAGGTGAACAAAAACCAAACTTACGAGCTATAGTGTTAGCTTGTGCATACAGCTTACAGCACTGTCTGTGGATGTCAGCATCATCACGCATTTGATCAGTTATAAAGTGGCCAAGGTATTTCACCTTCTCACACACATTAAGATCACTATTAGACAGTTTGAACACAGGAAAGTTTAGCTTTTTATCCTGCTTGGTTCTACATATCAAGATGGCACTTTTAACAGCATTATACTGAATATCGTACTGCACACCATATTCAGAGCAGATATTCAGGAGCTGCTGTAAACCAGCACTACTTGGACTAAAGACCACCAGATCATCAGCATACATCAGATGGTTGATCAAAGTTGTACCCATCAAACATCCTGTGTTACAGGCTCTGAGCTGCACAGACAGATCGTCAACGTACAGATTAAATAAGATAGGAGACAGAATTCCACCCTGCCTAACACCATTACTAACGCCAAATGGTGCAGAGATGCTGGCACCCCATTTAACCTGTATCTTCTGATGAGCATACCAGTAAGACAGGATTCTCACAATAAACCCAGGGACCCCCCGTAGCTTTAACTTAATAAAAAGTTTTCTGTGGTTTACACGATCAAAAGCCTTAGAAGCATCAATAAAACACATAACGACAGAAGAATTTCTATTTCTGTACCAATTGACCATTTCTTTAAGTGCGTATATACACATGTCAGTACCATGTTTTGGCTTAAAGCCAAACTGATTATCCAAGGAACTGAGGTACACAGTGACTCTATCAAATATGATTCTTTCAAGAACTTTAGATAAAACACTGGCTAGTGCAATCGGCCTATAATTATCCATACTGGTCACCTTCCCAGATTTGTTCTTAATGACTGGAACAAGCAGAATTGCCATCATTGAGTCTGGTAGTATGCCATGAATCATGAACCCTGTAAAACAAAGAGCTAAAAGGGGAGCTAGTCTTTGGCTAGCATATTTCAAATGTTCTGCACTAATGTGATCCAGACCAGAAGCCTTATTATCAGCTAGTTTGTGAATAGCATCATGCACCTCATGGGTCGTTACACATATAGATTCATCATTAATTACAGAGCCATCCTCATGCTGATCACTTTTTAAACAATTAAACAATGCATAATAATGATGTCTCCATAATGCTGCAATATTATCTTCCCCAGAAACACCTTCAACAGCACCTGGTAGAGATGATTTGCAATTATTAACTGTTTTCACATCTTTCCAAAAACCTTTGACATCATGACTCATAAATTTCCTGGCCATTGAATCTGCCCTCATGATCTGCTCATTTTTTGATATAAAACGAACAGCATACTTATATCTGGCATTAGCACGTTTTTTCTGTTCAAATTCCACACCCTGCCTAGGTCTCCCAACCATATCCCAACATTTAAAAGCTACCCGTGCTTCATCCTGATACATGGCAACATGTTCTTTCCAGCCAGGCCTGATATGAGGTTTCTGCTTATTCTTACCTTTGACATGAAAAGGTCTACCACTTTCATACAAAGCGTCCACTATATCCTCATACATAGAGCATAGATCGCTTTTGTGTTTAAGAATCTTACAGTTGACATCTTCACACAGGATAGCCTCTTTAGCCACAGAGATATTGTTCAGTTATTGATCTGTATTATAACTATAACCCGATATGTCTTTGTCACTTAATGCTGCCCATTCTAATTTTATATTATCATAATTATTGACATAATTAACTCCCATTGTACTAGGCAGTTGTTCCACATTTATAGAGAAAGCAAGAGGTATATGGTCTGACACAGTTACCCCATATTTTATAGACATGCTATCCAAAGCTGCATGACCATCAGCTGTACTAATACAATGATCCAGCCATGATGTAGTATGCCAACTCTCACTAATATATGTGTAACTGTCTTTTGGCAACAGCACTTTGCTAGATAGAACAAGATCATTGTCTTCACACAACTGTATTAAGTGTTTAGCAAACTGAGATTTTTTATCTGAAAGATCAGCATTAAAGTCGCCCACAACATATATACTATAAGTACTGTGACTTTGAATAAATGCATTAATAAAAGCCAACCTACTAATATATTCCCCTTCATTTCCAGCAATTTCGTATGGAGTATAAATATTAAGGATAACAAAACTAATGTTATTCTGGATATATTGTATGCCAATACACCAATCTACATCCAGTCTAAGTGGCTTAATTACAGCATCAATTCTTTTGTTCCAAAGCACAGCCACTCCTCCTGATATTCTACCCCTGACTATAGCTGTGCTGAGATCAGTAGTTGATTCCCCCACTCCGAAAAATTTAGAGTTAAGGCAGTTAAGTTTGTCCAGATCTTGTTTAGGTAAAAAAGTCTCTTGCAAACACAATATTTCACATTCTTCAAGCAAGCTGTCCACAACAATACGTCGAGCTCTATCCCCTGCATCATGGCCCAGACGCAGGCCACGACAATTATAGGACAGCACCCGAAGAGACATGCTTATGCTGAGGTGCTTGGGCCAGGGGGAACATCCCCTGCTGGAGACACATTAGCAGAGCGGAGAGAGCGGGGGTTCCGTGGTTCATAATACCGTCTGACCAGAGCCCCTTCAGGCCAAAGCTCAGGGTTATACATTTCACCAATGTCATCACACTCAGCCGTAACCTTAAAGGAGCCAAATCTGCTCCGTAAATTAACAATTTTCAGACAGGTGACGTCTCTGTTAAGTTTCTCTTTAAGATACAATGAAAGCATTTCTGCATCAACTTCTGGGGCAAATTTAGTGGCGAACACAGTCACTACTTTTGTCTTTACAGTTTTTATAGTACTCACAGTTCCAGTGCCAATAATAGATCTGGCTCCACGCCTCTTGTTATGTCTAGTCGCGGAAGGAACATGCATCCCTGCAGCAACCTTCTCCGGCTTCTGACGAGGCCTGCCCTTCTTCACGACTGTACTCCACTGTGGGGAGCGTGTGAGAGGCTCCGGTTCCACCATATTCATTGTAAACGCAGAACCAGAGGCCGCTAACAAAGTCCGATCTTCACCACTCCGTGAAGTCACAGAGGCGCATGCCTCCACAGGGCCCATCCCAATCCTCTGGTCAGCCAAAACGCCAACTCCCTGCCTCTCGGCCAGGCCGCCATTACTCTCCAGCCACTCCTCTGAGTTATTACTCGGATGCAGAAAAGGACCCGTCCTTGGTCCCTGCCCTTTTAGAATAGCAGAACCAGCCAGGTCGCCTGACTGACGCTCCAGTGCGGCCACTCGCTGGTTAATTTCTCCAGCTTCAGCCCGAACTTGCTCACAGACATCTGCCTGAAGTTTGGCTACGTGTTTCAAAGCACTAACCTCCGTACACAATTGCTCCATTCGCCGCAGCAAACAGCATACATCCAGGCTGGAGAATGTAACAGGTGGTAAATCCTCCAAGTGATGGGATACAAATCTAGGGATATTTTCCCCACACTCATTCAGCACTTTAAGGCAGAGCTTGATATTATTGGCGTCTTTGTGCTGCCCTTTATATCCGACGCACCGCTGTGAAGTACTCGGGCAGAGCTCAAACAGAACTTTTTTTGAAGCTTCAATCCCCTCAGATTCAAATGTGTTCGTGGCCAACAACACAATTTCATCCTGGCTCAAGGTTTTAATTTTAACAGCAAGGAAATTAAGAAGTTCATCCTCCACAATCACCTTGCCATCTGTCGTCCTATACACCTCTGGTTTTAGTCGAGATAGTTTAGGAACTGGACCAGGAGCTGATGCCTCGCTGCCTGCTACGTCCGCCAAATAATTGTGTTCTCTTTATTATGGTGTGGTGAATGTTTTAAACAGCCTCTGGGAGACCAAATGCTTTCTTGGTGGACTGTACCACTGGTGTCTGATTGTTGTGATGACTTCATGTCTTCTCTCCTTCCTCAGTCCAAAGAGTTGCTGAAGGCCTACCCCCCATTTGTCAACTTCTTTGAAATGAGCAAGGAGACCATTGTTCGCTGTGAGAAGCAAAAGCCGCGCTTCCACGCATTCCTTAAGGTACGAGATTTCATAATAAACTATCATGCTTGTTTTGGCATCTTGACTTGTTTTTCATCTTCTGTAAAAATATACTTTATCCATTGAGGATTTTCAGTAAAAAAAAAAAAAAAAAGTTACTTCCATCCATCCATTTTCCTCCGCTTATGCGGGGTCAGGTCACGGGGGCAGCAGCCTAAGCAGAGAGACCCAGCCTTCCCTCTCTACCCAGGCCTCCAGTTCCCCAGAGAGTTCTGTTTTTGCCTTGGGGTCTTCTCCCAGCGGGATGAAAATATCCAGGCAACAAAAACTCAGCTGACTCCATTTAATGTGAAGGAGCAGTTGCTCTTCTGAGTTCCCAATAGATGACAGTGTTGGGGTTATTAGGAGCGAACAATTAGTAAGCTTCAACTTACTTTTGGATTCTTCAATAAATTCTGTAAATATGGGAATATTTACTGATTTATTAATTAATTAAGATATTCTTAGATATACGGGGCACCATTCCCCTTTTTCCGGGGAAAAATTGAATCCAAAACTCTTATCAGTCTTTCTTGAAGTTCGTAGAATCCTTGGAGCAGAGACTTCTCTTCGACACAACAAAGCTACTGGACACAAAAATCTGAATTTTATAACATTTAATTAACAATTTGTCAAATGAATAAACAGTGGAATAGATGAATAATAACCATGTGATATGATTGAAGATGGATGTGTTTGCATGTGATGGAGGATGTATGAATGGGGTCCTTTGTTCTCACAAAGGAGTAGTGTGTGTGTGTGTGTGTGTGTGTGTGTGTGTGTGTGTGTGTGTATGGATTCAAAATGGAGTCTTGAATACAAGATGGCTGACCCCTTTGTCTGGCTAAAGTGTGGGTGGCAACTTGCACTTTAACTTCCAAAGCACTTAGAATCAGTAGTAACTTAACCTTAAATCACTCAAAACATTTCAAAAGATCATGAAACAACACAAAAGATTAATCACGAATAATATCTTTTAGTTTAACCACGTGGCCAAGCAGAAAACATTTAAAGATACCAAACAATGATCAATAAGCAGTTTATTCTTTCAAAATGACCCGACTGACGTGTTTGGGACGAAAGAGGAAAGCACGAAGCTACTTTTAAGCAATAGACGCGGTTTATTGCTTATTCGAGACTATAGAGGAAACGGGAGAAGGAAAGAATGAGAGAAAGAGATGAGTTTCTGATCACCAGAACAGTGAAGCGTCCCTCACTGTTTTGATTTGACGGTTCTCCGTGTTTCTCCGCAGCTTTCGGCGTCGTCCGTCGGTTTGATGCTTTCTCCGTTGTTTGGCGTTCACGAGTGTTTCTCCACGGGCTGGACAGAGACAGCAAAGTTTCTTTCTGTGCTGAGTTATAACTTACAGCGTGCTTGATGGAGTTGTTGCTTTCCTCCGCAGTTCTGTGTCCTCAAACATCAGCTGGAGGGGAGCAGAAACGAGCAGATCTGATGGGCTTGCAGTTTAGTTTCCAGCAGTTCCGTGGGCTCAACTTGGCACTTAGAGCTTCCGCGTGCTCAAGGGAGTCGGAGCGTTGACAAGCGTGTCCTTACCGCCAGGTATCCTGGGCAAAAGAACGAGGATTCTTTGTCTCTGCTGAAGATTTATGGTCTTAGTTCGCGGGAAAAGCTCCACGGCTTCCCGCACATGCGCAGAACGTGTTTCTGGTACTAGGCGGTGACGTCATCACAATGCTTCCGTGTGCAAAGCATCATGGGAAATGAAGTTTCTTGGCGCTGATGTGATTATTTGCTTTTCAGAGCAATTTAAGCACAGTCATTTTGGAGAAAATCACTGCATAGTAATTTCCTCATGAGGTCAGACCCTCAACATTCCCCCTTTTGGTTTCGGGGATCGCGCCCAAAGCTCGATCGTCGGAAGCACAGATGGGTTTGTTCCTCATGAACGTAGGTCGACTTGATTGTCGGAAGCACAGGTGGGTTTGTCCCTTAGGACGTTGGTCTCCTTGGACGCCTTTGTCTTTGGTCTTTGTCTTGGATCCTGGCGCCTTTGGTCTTTGTCTTTGTCAGGCACAAAGAGGATAGGAAACGGGATAGTCCCCAACGCGCATAACGAGAAGAAGCCACTCACGCAGGTGGTACGCAATGATGATGTCGTCCATGCGAGAGGTAGTAGTGTAGAAGGAGGAAGGTCGGTGGGCGGTTAACTCCACGAGTGGACACAAAGGCATCTCACCGCCGGCCATACAGTTCAGTTTATGGAGCACGCGGTGATGTACGAGGTCCATAGTTCGCAAACGCGCATTGACCTATGTGGTCCCAAGATTCCCCCCTTTTTGGTCCAAAGGGTGGATCAGGACAGTCTTTGGGCTAAAACAAGGACCATAAAACTAAGAGGTACTACAATGTGCTGGTGCGTCAGACAGAGTCATTGACAGACTGAGCTGGGCCGGCACATAACCACTAGTTAATATGTGACCAAGTAAGAAACAAAAATACAGAAAACCCCAAAAAAAAAAAACATGTAACATATAACATCCAAGAAAATTCATAGCAACCTTGAGGTCTCATAAAATACATTCTTAGGTCATACATTCAGTGTGTAGCTTATAAAGAATGTGACATACTGCAACACTCAGATAAATATGTGAGGTAGACTAAAATGAGAACTACTCTTAGGTTTACAGAATAACAAAGAAAATGTTGCTCACCCCCTTTAGACAGGTGTGGTACATTCACGCTTGGAGTCTCCCAGAACGCAGTTACGAGGCACACCGTAGGTGAGCAAGTGCATCTTATCTTGGAGTTTCTTAACACGCTTGTAGGCGGAATAAGCAATCACGGCCGTGATGAGCCATTCCATTCCCAGGGCGACCAATGTGCAGATTAAAGTCGTATAATCTGTGTCAATGTAGCGTCTTGGGCGTCAAAGTAAGTTCACGCGGGTTTTGTGTGAACTTAGCAAATTTGGTTCCTTCAATCAGTAATTGTTGGTCAATTTCTAAATCGATGGTAAAGTTATAACCCTGGAAAGCGTCCATGATCTCAATCTCTGAGTCATGCTGTTCGAGGTTGAGGTGATGGAGTGCCAGGTTTCTAGTTCAAGGTGGAAATGCCTACCGTCCTTTCAAATACCCATGTTAGCATCGACTTAAACCTATAGATGTGAGGTGTCACAATCATGGGAACATAACAGGAAACCGAGTTCTAATTTTTCTGCATCACCATGAATGGGAATTGCACTGCCTAGGCTGTACGCTAGGTGGATTTATGAAAGGTGCACAGTAGAGGGGTAGCAGCTGTCAAGCTAACTTTGAGCAGGTCCAGTGGTACCAAGTACGGGGAAATACGACTTTCAACCAAGCTGTCCAGCGTGGAACTTACTTCCCTGAGCAGGTCCTGCATCAAATCTCTCACCACTCATGTGTACACAATATCCTGATGTATGGTTTCAGACAAAGTCTTGATTGCACGTAGAGATTCATTAATCAGAGCAGAATGTAGGTTGACAGTTACAAGAGTACCCTGTAAGGTTTTAGTAGGTAAATCCTGTTAGAGGTCTAGGAGGAGTTTCTCTTGGCTAGTGAAAGTGACGGCGGGGGGGGAGCCTGGTTCTTTGTCGGTTAGTACATGTTAGTGGGTTAAACGTGCACTTCCCCCCTTTTCCATTTCCATACATAGAACTATGTAGAGACTACGTCTACCTCCTGCGGGGAGTCTGGTCTCTGTACCCGCGGGGATGGTTTGACGTAGGGTTTGATTTGGTTCGCATGCACCCATTTGTAGACAGGCTCCTGTCTTGCTTTGGTGATGCGTAACCTGTATGCAACTGGAGAGAGTTTTGCCACGATCTCAAATGGTCCTGACCAGCAGGGCAGGAACTTCTTAGCTTTGCGTGCCAGTTGGGCGAACCGAAAGTAGAATACTTTGTCACCCACCTCGTATTCGCGGCTGGTTGTCTTTTGGTCGTAGTAGGCTTTAGCGCCTTCTACGTTTGTCTCCAGTTTCTTCTGAGCATGCGCGAACGTAGCTCTGAGGTGTGTTTTCAAGTCTGCCACATACTGATGAGCGGTATAGGCAGTGGCAACACTGACATCCTCTGGGTGATACAGGAGGTGCAGTGGTAGAGTCATCAGTCTGCCGGTCATCATCTCAAAGGGCGTAACTCCCGTGGATCGCTGGGGAGTAGACCGTATGGCCATCAGGACCAGAGGGAGCTTGACGTCCCAGTCCTTCCCAGTGGAGCAGACGTACTTTTTGAGCATAGAGACGACCGTGCGGTTCATCCGTTCGACCTGTCCGGATGACTGTGGGTGATAGGGAAGGTGGAATCTCACTTCCACTCCCAGAAGTTCAAACAGGGACGTCATTACACTGGATGTGAAATGAGTTCCTCGGTCAGAGTCAATGCAGAGTGGAAGTCCCCATCGACTGAAAACGTGGTTAATCAGCAGTACAGCGGTTGTGACGGCTGTATCGTGTGGCGCTGGAAGGCACTCAACCCACTTTGTGAAACTGCAAGTTACAGTTAGCATATATTTGTTTCCTCTTGCCGATTTGGGAACCGGTCCAACCCAGTCGATCTGCAGGTGGGACCAAGGGAAGGTTATTCCCCTGCGTTGCAGTGGTGCTCTAGCAAGCGGCTGGGAGGGTTGAAACTGGGCACAGACGAGGCAGCCTTGGACATAGCTGTGTACGTCCTTGGACATCGACGGCCAATATGCTACTTCTGTCAGTGACGCGAGGGTAGCTTTTGCTCCGCGGTGACCTCCAACCGGAGTGTCGTGGGCGTAGGCAAGCATGACTCCTCTGTGGTCAAGTGGAACAACCCAGCGCGGCGGGCTGTGATCGTCACGCATGTAAACTAACAAATCGTTTTGTAGTTTCAGGTGCGCGAGTTGACGATGCAGGGTTACCAAATCTCGGCTTGCGCCAGTAGGTGGTGACGGTTGTTCAGGCATCGGGCCCTTTTGGAGAAGCTCGCGGATGAGCTTCAGGTCAGGATCTTGTTCCTGCATGGTGACTAGGTCCGCATCAT